ACTAGAGTAATACTAACGCTATCGATATGTAAGGGAAATACACTTTACTAATTACTAGCCTTCTATTCTAATCTTCGACCTCTATAACCTCCTTTTGAGCAGGGGCGATTCAAAAAGAATGGGGGCCTAAAACCAAACTATAATGAGAGGCCTTAAACTAATTTTTTTTTTAAATTATCATTCTAACTTTTGTAGATGCAAAGTTATTAATAATTTATTTTTTATTAATAATACAATTAATTTATTTAATCTCTCTTGAATCATTTTTTATCTTAGGTAAGATTTTATCAATTTTAATTTTCTTCTTTTCACTGAGGAAATTAAACCATTACATGAATTGTTAAAATTATTCTATAAGCAATATATGCCTTTAGAAAAGAATCAACGTTAAACTCAATATTTTTTTCACCTAATCTACGGACCTCAATATGCACATTCAAAGTTGCAAATTATTTTTCTCTATATTTTTAGGAAAAAAAAGAAATCAGACCTATTAACGGGCTATTGGCAACGTCAATATACATATATTTTGATGAAAACTTTTGCTAACTGTACTAGCCGCAATCAGTATATTATACTAAATAGTCATGCCCAATAAAAACTCAAAATTTCAAGCTCATACGTTGAACAAATAGCTTCATTTTTTATTTTTGGATTGTAACAGGCTTCTACTAATTTCAATAAAATATCACATATTTGTAGTGTTTGAAATTTATGCTTTTAACACTTTTGATACGAATTTCCGACATGTTTGAAATAATGATTTAAAAGTTAGGCTAAATACGCTATCTTGTAAAATATTTCATCGCTTATTAGAAGAAGAAAAATAGTGGATATATACGTTGTACTATTTCAAAAATTTATATAGCTTTTGTACAAGAATTAATCATGTCGCATAATATCAATTTAAATTATAATAATTTTTATAAAAAAATATACTATATTAATATGAAAATTTTGGGGTCAAACACTTACTTGCCCCTACTTTTGAGGGTCATATATTCAGTAAACTCATATAATAACTAATTACATCTTCCCTATACTTTTTAAGATTCTTTTATTCTTAATACAGATTTAAGTTTAAATCTTCAATTTAAGTTTTTTAGTAGGGCACTTCCTTTTTAATAAACCTTATGCCACGCAATTCGATCCAAAGCAGATATCGAATATCTGGACGGGTGGGAACAAAAAAAGAATTAATATATTAACAAAATAAAGGGGAAAAGAATAATTAGAAAAAGAAAAAGAAATTGCGAGGACCCTACAAGGTGTTTAAGTTTGTCGTCTATTGATGAATCATCATCACCAAAAAAAAAAGTAACTGAAACTCTGAAAAAGGATGCCCTTTTCAAAATCTACCCTACCATCCCACCTTTTTTCTTTTATTTTTATTTTCTTTTTCCATCTTTTTCTAATGAATAATGATTTTTGTTTTTAATACAAGCACCAAATTCCAAAAATTCACATGCAATTGAATAAAGTACGACCCACCATGTACTACGAGGTCGTTTGGTAGCTTTATTTTGTACAAAATTCAGCATAATTAATATCGTATTTGGTTGTCATTTTACAATTCTACATAAATAATATATGTATAAGTTATAAATTAATTTGTGTATTATTTTATGCAGGATAAAAGATGGAATAACTAATACATATATTAATAATACATGAATAAAATAATAAAATAACGAATTTACCCCTAAAGAGAATGGAACTTGATCGTCAGACTATAGCGTGGATGATTATTAATGACAAACTTTAAAGCTTTCAGTTATTTTTATGTACCTACATTATGAAATATGGATGTTGTATTTTGCTAACCCGTGAATATCCACAAATGTAAATATTTGTTGATGTTCTGGCCTTAAAGTTGGTTGTTTTTGTATAACAACTGCACGTGGAAATTTGCTAATATTTTGACGCTAGTGTTTTTGTGAAGTAGCCAACACTATTTTGGTATTATTTTCAGCTGGTTAATCTGTTGGTGCTTGTGCTGAAATTTAAAATTTGGTGTTGTATTTGCTGTGAGTTAGAGTTGTTTAACTGTTGTTGGAAGGAGAATGCTGCTGAAATATAGAACCTTTTTTTGAAAAAAATGCTACTGGATAACTAGTTTTTGAAATAAAAATCATTGCCATTTTCTTTAGCAAACTTTTCACTTTCGTTTCTCCAACAAAAGCTCGTACTATGATGTTTTTGAATTACTAAATAAGGTGTGTAACAATGTAGCAAAAAACTCAACCAAAAATCAAGAAAGAATTATATACATGATACTTAACATGACCATTTTTTTTGAATTTCACATGTATTATTCAAACATAATGCATTAGTCAAATATAATATCAGTTTGAGTTGGTTCACTTTGGTTTTGTCACTCTACTATGTGCCCAGTTTCATTAATTTAACAATATAGAATGTGTAAGTTGCGAATGTAAATATTAGAGTATTAATCTTGTCTAAAATGTTGCATCATAGGCTTTTGATAGTCTAAATTATATTTTACGGCTTTAATTGCATTGCATTTACTTGCCAACTATATACCTTGCCTTGCCTTATATTTAAAGAACAAAATGAACCGAAGAAGTCACTAAACAATAGGAATATCAAACGGTAAGGAGCGAAAATCAAATATGCCTACAACCTCACATAGTTTAGTAGTATGATGAAGAAGTGAATGTAACACCCAAAGTTCCTAACTAAATTGTTGACTAAGTAAATGCAAAAAGAAAAAAAAAATGCCAATGAAGGCCAAGGGTATAGTTGTAAACAAGTATTTTACTTCAAAATTTATATAATGTATATCAATTTCTAATACAACAAACCAAATATTCAAAAAATTAATCCATTCGTAACTAATCTATGTATAACTACTACCTATATAACTAATCTCTGCATTACTAATACATGCATAACTAATATATATATAACTTATACGTGCATAAATCTAATCGACAAGTAGGCAATCAAACGGCCTTACAAGTACATTTGCGGTACATATTGCTGAGTACCACATCTTTCCCAAAAAATAATTTATAGTGTTGAAAAGACTGTATTGGCCTTTAATATTAAACCTTGGGAAAATGGTCAAATTTTTCCATATATTGTCTGTAACGGAGCAACTTAAGTTTCGATAAACTTTTGATCTACTATTACCTACGTTGTTAGGATAAATTTATAGATTCCAATTAATTTTATACAATAGTCAAAAGGTGAGGATAATTTTGGATGTTTCTCTCAAAAATTTTGGTCACATAACAGCCCTCCATTTCATGAAAGAAACACAGTTAATTGCAAGGGCATATATATATATATGATTATTTGCTAATGATAAGGGTATAAATAAATTAAAAATCTAACAAAAAAAGTTTAACAATTTTGGATAATACAAGGACGAATGTGAATTATTTCCTATCCGACTTTAACTATTTCGGCCATAGCCGAAAAAGAAGATAAATTTGACCATATTACCATTGTTTACGTACTTACTTAATTATCCAAATAATGCATCATCTATGAGATATATCAAGCTCAATAAATATGTCAGTTATAAAAAATGATGTGATTAAAGAATGATTTATAACAAATAATCTATTCATAATACTTTTTTATGCTCCCATCAATTTATTAAAAAAAATATTCTTATGTCTCTTGTCAACTTGGTACATTAATGTTTCATTGAAAATACCGAAATATAAAATAAACAATTAATAAATGACATTATGCTGTGGTAAAAAAATTGGGGTATACTCGAGCAAGGATAATAAATGCATCATCATTTTCAGATCCGTTTATTGTAAAAAAAACGTTTACGTATATTTAGTATGTAGTTCAGCTAGTCATAAAATATCTTTAATACTTGTCAGATCATATTAATCCATCCTTATCCACAATTATTATACCAGATAATAAGAAGCAATGAGAATTAACTGGAAGGTAAAGCATGACTTGATCTTTCTTTATTTCTTTTTTGAACTTTTTCTAATACAAAATATTTAGGTCCCAGTTTTGTTGAAATTTTCTTTAATAGATTGAACTAAATGAAAATAACTCTTTATCTTAAATATTTAAAGTGTAAGATCTAAACGTAGAGATTTCTTTTCTTATTTTCTATGTCGTTCCTACTTTATCCCAAAATGAATAAAAGAATGTGCATATTTAATGTTTTAGTATTGACCAAAAACTATAACAAAAAAGAAAATTAACCAAAATCCAATTAATTGACATGTTGTAGTGAATTTGGTAGAGAAACTGTGGTAGATACATTGGCATATATATATATATATATGCTAAAAAGTGCTTAATATTCATCGATGGTATAAAAAATTTTTACTCCATCAATACATTTGAATTAATATTAATTTTTAGTTCACTAGTATGATTTTTTTTATAGAATTACTTGCATTTATTTGTTGATAGTGTAAAAATTAGTATTTCCTCCGTTTCAAATTAGATGATATACTTTCCTTTTTAATTTGTTATAAAATAAATGACATATTTTTAAATTTAGAAATAATTCAATTTTAAATTCTTCATTTGACCCATTTTATCATTAATGAGAAACTTTTATAACCAAACAAATATTTTTATGACCACAAGTTTCAAAAGTTTTTTTTTTTTATTAAATTCCGTAACGAGTCAAACAACATTGTCTAAATTGAAATGGAGAAAGTATAGAATAATATATTTCTACACATATTTATAGAGGTATATTCTTTGTATTATACTCCGTATTTCCATAACATTTTATACATACAGAGAGAGAAAATGAAATGAGTATATGAGAAGCTCTCACTGTTACTGATTTTGATGCAATGTAAGAGAGAGAGAGAGAGAGAGAGAGAGAGAGAGAGAGAGAGAGAGAGAG